GAGATCTCAAAATGGTTTACCAGATTCTGAAGAACGCAAACCACATTTGCCGTCCACTGCTGGAATTAAACCCCAACACCTAACTAAGAGGTCACCCTCTGAGACTGACAATTCATTATAGCCGGCTTGAATGCCGTAGAAATTTCTTTTCTGTCCGCGTGTGCTAGCTTTGAAAGGCCCTCCCTAATTATGTCGTCTCTGCTCCCAATCTGGCGATATTTAAAAAACGTGTTGCCGATGCATTGTCTCACTTACATTTCATTTTATGACTTGTTAGCCAGGGGCTACAAAACGCAATCAAACGGTGTCTTGCCAAACGCCTAACCAATGGATTTATACGTTTAATAGGCGAACATCTCCGCTATTCCACATAAGTCTATGGTGAGTCCACCACAACGCTTTTCACTTTATTATGCAATTGATTTTCGCAATAATTTCCATCCCACGGGACTTGTTAAGCGATGCATTTTTACCCGTAATAAACCATCGTTCCATTGTTCCTGATGATACGCGTGATCAGTACTACACTCAGCTATTCTCCGTGTTACTGTCTGTTCCGAGGAGCAACGGACTATTTCTATTGGGTGACTTCAACAATCGCGTTGTGTGTGATGCATCGGCGTGGACAGATGTCCTCGGTCCGCATGGCATTGGTTCAGCGAATGCGAACGGAGACAGGCTGCTCTCACTGTGTACCACTGACTGCCTGACGATCACGAACACTCGGTTTGTACTGAGTGCGAGTGAGTTAGTAACTTGGACGTGCACTTTGGTGGTCACGCTCACCTGCTCGACTATGTCATTGTACGTCAGCGTGATGCGCACGAAGTGTACATGACACGTGTACTGCTGAGTGTGGCACTGATCGCAGATTGGAGCGGACCAAACTGTACATATATACTCGCAATTCTATATATGGCACTCCGGCCGCGAACCGGAGCAAATTTACCTTCTCTGCCTCGGTACCGCGTGCAAACTTATTGAGCTGGAGAAGACGATGGCTGCATGCCTGTGTGATGTGGACTGCATCGCCACAGTGGGCGACCTGTGGCGCCACATTTACGACCAGGTGACAGCTGCTGCCGTGGAGACCATCGGGGGCGCAAACTGTAAACGGCCTGACTGGTTTGATTTGAACAATGCGACGGTTGGCGCATTGGTGTCATAGAAGAATGCAGCATTTGCTACACATATGGCAGACCCAAGTAACTTGGGGAAGAAGAAAAACTTGGGGCGAAATCGACGACGACTGACCCGCGAGCTCCGTCGCATTGAAAATACATGGTAGACAGAGAAGGCGAAGCGAATGGAATTCTACGCCGAAGGCGGACAACATAAGGTATTCTTTGACTCCTTGAAGGTGGTGAGTGGAACGAGGTTGGAGCCGCTGAGGACGCTGATCCATGGTAGTTCAGGCGCTACCTGCACACAGACCGTAGACATAATACAGATATGACAAAAACAGTTCGACTGTCTCTTGAACGACCTTTCAGAGCTCGACTGACCTACATTGAACCGCCTAAAACAGCAGCATGTGAAGGCGAGTCTAGCGCACACGCCGACGTTGGATGTGACGCAAAGAGCATTTGCTCAGCTGCGAAATGGCAAGTGAGCTGGTAACGACGGGATCCCGCCTGAATTATTGAAATACGGTGGACCCGCGTTGGTGACTGCACTGCACGACTTGGTGCAACGCGTGCGGATTGAGCAGAAGGTACCTCATGAACTGAAGGATGTCCTTGTGCTACCATTGCACAAGGGCAAATGTAGCAAGCAATGTTGCACGAATTATCTTGGCGTCAACTTGCTGAGTTGTTTGGGCAAGGTGATAGCCTGAATCCTGCTTAACCGCCTCGTCAGTCAGGTTGTGTAACCGAAATTGACGGAAGTGCAATGTGCATTCCGTTCAGATAGCAGAATTATAGACATGGCATTTGCTGCTCGTCAGTTACAGGGGATTTGTGGAAAACGACACCAGCCGTTGTACTCGCTTTTTGTTGATTTCACCAAGGCATTTGATACGGTGAACCGCGAGGCATTGTGGCTGGTTGCCCGCGTAAGTTTGTAAGTTTAATTGAATGTCTGCACAGTGGTATGCGAGCGAGAGTGCAGCTGAGTGGAGAGACTTCGGATGACTTTGCAGTTGTCTCTGGTGTGAAGCAAGGCTGTGTCTTAGCTCCTGCCCTGTTTAATATATATCTTCATGCAATGTTGTCTTGTGCTTTTGATGCGGCTTGTGCTTACGGTGTTCGTGTGGAGCACCGTATTGATGGTGGGTTGCTGAACATCCGTCGTTTCGGTGCGAGAACTCGAGTCTGTGAGACAACTATCCGTATGTTGCTGTTTGCTGACGACTGTGCGTTGTTTTCACACAGCGCGGATGAGTTGCAGCACATGACTAGTGCTCTGGTTTCGACAGCGGCAAAATTCGGGCTCACCATCAACACAAGCAAAACTGCCTGTCTCTTCACCGGAAGTGCAATCTGAAATACTGCCGCGAATCAGCATTGATGACAAAGTACTGGAACCCACCTCTCGCTTCTGCTGCCTTGAGAGTGTGGTTTCGACAGAGCAGCAAGTATATAGTGAGCTGCATATCTGCGTATCGAAGGCAGCGGCGGCACTCGGGAAGCTTGAGTACAGAGTGTGGTACAACCATCAGCTTACTGTTGGCACGAAGTTGTTGGTCTACAAATCCATGGTGCCGTATAGAACATACGGCAGCGGAACGTGGACGATGTACCGGCAGGATGTACGATATCTCGAGCGGTTTCATCAACAGTGTCTGAGATGGATTCTGTGCATCGGTTGGTGCGAAAGTCGCAGACACGGAGGTGTTGCGCCGAAGTGGAATGTATGCAGTGGACTGCATACTTTGCTGAGACACCTGAGGTGGCTCGGTCATGCGTGCAGAAATGACTGCACGCGGATACCGAAACAGCTGTTATATGGTCAGCTGAATGTGGGGGAGAGGCATGTGGAGAAACCGAAGCTTCGTTACCAGGACATGATCAAGGTGAGCCTATCACGTTCCAATAATGAGTACATTTGTTAGGAAACGAAGGCGGTTACTCGGTGTGTATGGCGTCATCTGACCAAGGCAGTTGCTGAGATGCAGAAGAAGCCCGTCGTGCCTGCGGCGAAGAAACAGCAGGCGCGGAAGCGACCGTTGCCGACGGAGTGTACTCTGGCGATCTCGAGCGCATGGTGCTGTAGCACATGCGGTCGCGGGTGTCTGAGTCAGGCAGGTCTAATGAACCATGAGCGAGGTCACTCGGAACAAGGATCCATACGACGACGGGTCCCGCTGAGAACGTAAGCAGAATCGGCGCAGCGTTAGTAGGTACGCTGCATGCGTTTCCATTCGATTTACTAAAAGCGTACTGGCGTGCTGAGTCTCTTTAGTTCAGGTGTTTGGTCTGCTATATTGTCTTAAGGCCTATTTTGTTACCTCATTTTGACGTCTAGCTAAATGATCTATTTGATTGCGGAAGTCGCTTAAAGATAGTTAGCTTCGTTAACTTTTTCGCGTTTGTTGATCACTTTTTCTGACATCTTGAAACCACCGCCATTTTATTGACAACCCATTTATTCCACATACTAATCTGGCGAAGAGTTATGTCGGCATATCCGTGTGCTTTATTCGATATACTTTATTTGATAATGTTATTTCAAGTGATTGGCTGTCTCCTGATATTCCCGGTGTGGCTGCGCTTGATGTACATGTTGACAAGTTGCCTACCTGTCTAACACCCTCCACTTCGAGTACTGGCTCCAGGAGAGTGTGGATCGTTGCTGGGGGGAGGGGGAGGAAGAGTGCACGGTCCTCGTGGCCGTGCTAGGCTCGAAGAGTGGTTCCATCCAGTGTGGAGCGGACTAAGGCCTAGCCACCACCTTGTGTACGTCTGGTAGGTATGATTCCCCATTTAGGCAAGTATGCCTCTACTCTGTTTGTTGAAAGAGTGTAGGCCGGCTCCGTTGGTGAAACGTCGCTCCCATCCACATGCTTCCCGGTCTTATTCCTTCGGGTTTAAACTGGATATGGAGTATGTGGATGGAGTTGTGGGTGGTGCAACGCAAGGTCCCTCTGTGTCGGCCGGTGGCCGGGTGGCATGCGCTTCTGGTTTGTAACCATAAGGTAACTGGTTCGAATCCGTGTAGGGGCGGGCGTCCTAGCGGTATCCTCAGCCCATGCGCGATTGGTGGCGGTCGCGTGTCAGTGAAGCGTCGTTACGGTGTACAGCTGGTGATTTACTTTATCTACTTACTTATGGTCCCTCTGTATGCGCAGGCGTCCTGTGACTGTCCTATGGAAGCCGCAGTGACAGACAAATCCGGAATCGGATGCCACCAACCACATTACATGCGGATTCCAAAGCCACTGCTTTGCGAATAAAAAGATGTTTGAGAATACGAGTGAATAGATATCCGCCTCAGTGAGAGAATTATCAGCCAATCAGCACCCAAAACCATGCAGTGTTCGTATTACTAGAGAGAGAGAACATATCTCATAAATTCATCCAATGAAGTGGAGATCTGTGCACCATAAACAGTGGTGCTGAAGGCATTAGCTCAAACAAATCAGCAGTCGATGCGAACTAACAGTCACAAGTGATGCCGCGCTAACCGCGTATGCACCGGAACCATTCCCCCAGCAGCATGAGAATCGCTTTTCAAAAGAGGAAATAAAGTTGCGATTTGTCCCAAAAAAGTAGACATACTTGGCCTTCTGTGGAACAGTACTGGTGGAGATGCATGTTCCACGGACGAAGCACAGAAGCGCCACCAGAAGTGTTGGTACTGCCAGAGTCTGCAACCACTGTGTCTCGGCTGATGGGAGCAGCAGATGAGGGCAGCTCGCGTTCCACTGGACAATTCGGAGAGTGGTACCACTCGCGTAGCTCTTGAACTCGACGCAGTTCATCTTCGCCGAACTGACAGAAAACAGAATACCGTCGGATGAAAGCAAAAGATGGTAGGCTTGATAACGTCAAATTAACAAGCAAAGCTCAAAATGATAGTTAAAAGGATATGGGTTTAAAGCAAACGTCATAACGCAGCTTCTTGAACGCCAGTATCTAAATGATAAAAAGTATTCACGCAGTAACAAACCAGCGGAGAATAAAGGCAAATGTGGTTTGTGACCGGTATCAGCGACTCATGCGTTGACATCTCCCAGCCGGATTATCTGCCGCTGTGATTAAGTTGTGATTGAATGAGGACGATGAACGCGTATCGCTTTCAAGGTGGAAACAGTATGTCACCTCAGTTTTATTAGGGTCTACATAAGCCCCGGCTAATACCGTTAAGTGTCCGATGCTGCCGGCTGGTAACACTGCACCCAAAAACCACTTTGTAGTCGCTTCTGCTAGTCAAGTAAGGAGTGTAGAACTGTGATACTCGAGCACCCAATGCAAAGATTGCTAGTTGAATCCGTTAGCACTACACAGCCGAGCAGCGGGCAACACAAGCCGATGATCTCGACGTCCCGCGTTCTAGCGGTAACACCCAACATTTGTCTGTTCAAAATACGGTCCCAGTTAGCAAAAAGATCGAGATCCGATATTGAATTCTATCACCCGTATTACACTCGGGGGAGCCGGGTACGGAAAGAAAATCAACCATGGCCCATTCTAAGGTAGAGCCCATCCATAGGTTCAATGAGATTACGTGGGCGACACACAAAGTGGCGACAGTAAGTAGTTAGCTGAGGCAAGTGGCCGGGTCAACGATGTAAGACGCACAGAAATCGAGTCAACGTTCGAAAATGGCGCATACGAAATTTGAGTGGAAATGACTGCCATTGTGACACTGCATGTCGAAATACAAATAGTTATGGTTATTTTATTCTAGGTACAATTCCAAAAACAAAGGTATTAGCAGTAGACCGGTACGCGTTAACGACGCTTGGATACCGCAAAGCCACCACAGGTCGCACGTGAACTAAGGAGATTGCGAGCATCGCCCGGTCCATACGCAGAGGCTCGAACGCGCGCCTTCTGATTACAAGGCGGACTTGTGATCTGTAAGGCTACAGTCTACAGTAAAAGCCCGTCCAGGTAGGTATAATAATGGCATGATACACGCTCCGATCGACGGAGAAAAGTTAAAAAGTACAACTTACACTGCAAGCGCCTGCTGAAGGTCGAGGTTCCAATGGATCTGTCAGTGCACCCGGGAAGACGGCCGCCGCAAAGCCCACGGCGGGAGAGCCGTAACCCTGATTCTGGCCACGAAACTCACGGACACGCAGACGGTGCAAAATAACCACGTCGCCTGGTGCCTGAATCTGAGAAATTGAGAAAAGCGCGCTGTGGAACACTTTAGATCAAACTCTTGGCATACTAAAACTTAGAATATAGGCATCGATAAGACCAAAGACAGTTCATCGTGAAGGCGATGAGAAAATGCATCAGGGGAGAAATGCGTGGTAAGGTCCTTCGCAAAACGGAAAACATGGAAATGAACCTGCGGTAGGCTGTCCTTGCAGTCGTGGAAGAAATTACATTGTAGCTTGCCTCCTGACAAAGACGGATCAGTGATTGAGACGAATAACGAGTAACCAGATCCAGTGCTTTTGACCGGGGCGCGGAAAAACTTGACAACAGCAATCACATTAATGATGCCCAGAGCACTTTGCAACTCCGTATATGTGTAACTGGACATGGTCAATCACCCACGAAGCTGTAAAAGAAACACTTCCATCAGGTCAGATAAAAATATGCAAAAAATACAAACGAATTTCGCCACTTCCCCCAAATACAACAGAGACCCATGTCTACTTAGCGATGGCAAAATGGAAACATGCAGGGAATGCCTTATGAACAAGTGTTTTCAATCAATACACCCAGCACTAGCAGAAAGCGATAGTTTAGGAATAAGAAAAATGATCAAGCAGTAGTAAGTAGTAGTAGCAGTAGTGGATTCAAACTCGATCAGTTAAGGTTTTTGTTGCGTAGGTCCGAGAGCAAGCAACCCAACTGATGGGAGCACCAAGGCTAAAATGAATACTGGCGCCAAGAATTGGAGTAGTGAATGTGCATATGTATGTGCATACCACACGCACATCCGATTAGGGTTACCACATTTTAGGTACAACGATGCGTGCCGGAGGACTCTGGGCATGCATCCGCCCAGTGGCCGGGAGTACGCTATACGAAAATGATAAATCGCCAAGAGTGTAGGCGTTTATCGAATAAAGAAGACATCAGCAGTCCGCCGGTGGGCAGTGCCGAGACTTCGTTGTCGCGCAACCACCACAAATCGCACGTGGGCTAGGATACTGCACAGGTCGCTCTGCCCCTACGCAGGCTCGAACCCGCGCCGCAAGATTATGAAACAAGCTCGTTACCTTTAGGTTACGGGCTGAATAAGTGAAGAATAACGAAATTCAACATTATTTAATCGTTACTCTTAGAGGACCCGATCTCATGTGTTCAGTGAGAAGTAGCGGCCGTTGCACTGCAGCAGCAAGCACCATTTCCTAAACTAATAAGCTTGTGTTATGCCATCTAGTGAGAGATGGTCAAGAACTTGAAAAACCCTACGAGTTCGATTGATACATGTCGCTTGGGAGATATGACTATTGTGTTTCCACCGATTGTTGGTACACATATTCCGAATCGCGGACCAACAATCTCTCACACCAGAAGGAAAAGGCCTCGACGAAACCATCAACGGAAGATACAGCGTTCTTAACAGTAAAAATGTGTTGGATTGTGTAGGACGTTTCCGTGCTACCCGAGTCTAGTAAGACATCCTGCTTCCATGATTCCAGACAAAATGTGTTGTTATTAGCTGCCACCCGATCAATGGGATTCAAGCTCGGTTGGTCGAATCGTTGCTGAGACAACCGGCATGGAAAAGGGCTTGAAAGACTTCTATGAGCGTGTAGCCTTAACACCCCCCGCGGAAACGGACATGCGAATTCAGCATTGGATTCAGCTACACTCTGACCACGGATCTCCGTATCCGGTTAGTCCAGCTATGTGACTATGAGTTCGCTCCTTCTGTGGTAGCTAGGCAACGTCAAATCGGTTCTTTCCGAGTTCCAGGGTACGAATGGAAAGTTTCCCTGAAAATGTCCTCTGGTGACGATTATCCACTGTTACTTATCTGCATGCTGGTTAGCCGCAGCTGGTTTGCGTGTTTAGTCTAAAGCACAGCACCGACTCGAACTTTGTAGAGTACTTGTCCGAGTCTGCTGTCGATTCAATACACTGTCTAGTTTGCCCAGGGCCAAATGGACATACTTGCGTCCTAGGTAGCCGATTGTAGAGCTTTTAAATTCTGGCGTTCCTCACTTGTGGATGAATACGCTTCGGAAGCAACAACAAATTCAGAGCCCGGAGTTTATTACACATTGACGGTTCTGCTGATAACAGCTCGTTTGGCACGTGAGAGCATGGGATGATCTGTACGGTAGTAGGAAAACACCCGGTATCTTCCCGCTTCACCATTATTAATGATAAGAGCACAGTTCGGACACCATTTTGAGTCGTTCCGTTTTCTAATTAATGGTTAGCCGGTAAACAACTTCGCGCAATCATTTTCATTCGCTGTGTCAACAAGTTCATGACAAAAATGCTGCAGACGGGGCACCTTAGGAATCACATTCCTTTCGGTTAGAAGGGAACATTCGTTGACGATAGAAAATTCGTCGCTTTTGGGACAACTTTCGTTACTCCCCAGATGGGTTGGCCCTCAACCAAGGCGTAACAAAGAATTTAACCATATAACGCAACACGGAACCTCGTGCAGATAGATGCATTACGAACCATTTCAAAGAACATTGAAAATCATCTGAAGCTCCGCAACAACACTGAACTCACTGCAGACTGGAGAGATCGCTGTGTTGCTGGGTTATTCGTAGTAGCGCTGGTGATTTTCCGATAACTAAGAAACTGTATTACCTTACCCTACGTCCGCCATAGAAATCTGCTTTATACAACGTAGCAACCGAGTAATATGGCGGTCCGACATTTCAATCTGTTTGCTGTATATTCAGGGAGGTCAAAGTGCGATCCGAATGTTGCCAACAGTGGCTTATGATCAATAAGAAACTTTAAACGCAGCATTTTGTGGAATCGCTTTATCGCAAAGGCTACCGCAAACACGATCTTGTCCATTTGACCGCATTTTCGTTCTGCGGGTGTCAATGATCTGGTTGCGTGTGAAATCACCCTAACTGAATCATCTGTGAACTTGTAGCAAATGACTGCACCGATGCCGTAGTTCGAAGAGGCCTTGGTTATAACAATGCTTAGAATTGGATCGCAATGTTTAAGTATTATTATTACTCCCACAAACGACCTCTGATGTTAACTGGATCAGTCATAGGGTCTATGTTTGGTCAATAGCTCGGAAAGGATCACACAGGCAATGCGTGTGTGGTAGGAATGGACGTTTGTGTTGCAACAGCGAGGGGAAGCGATAGCCTGTCAGCCGCTTCGATTTTCGCCGGATCTAGATCCCCTCTGTTCTTGTCTATTATGAAACCGAGGAACGTGATGAATTCAAGGTGCATTTCTCAGAATGGAGTTGGAATCCATATACTTCGACACGGCTAAGAACTCAATCCCGCTTATCGAATAGGTCATCGACACCAATTACAACGGCGATACGGTCGTCCAGGTATGCAGCGGCTCCTTCGAACGCTGTCACCATAGCATCCAGGGTTTGCTGAAATACGGCTGGTACAGGCTTGACCTCGAATGGAAGGCGATGGCAGTGATGCGCACCGCTGTGCATATTTATATTGAGCAATTATCTCTAGGCTTTGCGTACTACGATCTGCAGGTATGTCTCCGATAGATGTTTATTGATCCTAGTTTCGGACATACAACACATCAATACCCAGTGTGTCCAAGGTGCGTGCGAGTGCAACCTGTTGACCTATTTTCATGGAGTGCGAACGTTGAACGTCGCCATGGAAACGAGACAGCATGGCCTTATAAGGGACTTGCTGATAGCCATATGATAGGTGTTGTTGTGGGATGGTGGCTGCAGATGGTTGTACTCCAGTGGCTCTTCGGTTGCTGTCAATTAAGCTGGGAATTATAGAAGGAAGGTTAGTAATGGAGGTCGGGATGGGAGTAAGAGAAACAGGTGGAAAAGAAAGAAGAGAGGCACCAGCAGTAGCATGTTTTCGCTTGTCCGCCCTGCTGTATGCAGAAGACAAAGCGACTTTTGATAATCTGCGCGACAGCCGATGCAGGATGAAGGTTCTGTATGCAGAAAAAGTCATAGTTGTATGTGGGCTAAGATACTGCCAGGGCGCCCAGACCTAAACAGAAGGACGATTACGGTCCTCAACCAAAGCCTTTAGCTCAAAAGCCTGTCTGCAAGGCAGCGGGGTGGCAGTGATTTAGTTTTACAGAAATGGACGCCATCCCATTTCAAACCCCCAACCTGGAGGACCAGGAGACTGAGTTTGTCTGACCTCTCCCCATTGAGCAACCTGGTAGAAGTAGCTCTCAAGGTGCCCGGATGCACCACCCAGTATAGCTCAATGGGTCAATGAAGTATGCAAACCGTCTCACTACGTTGAGGTCCAGTCTCGTTGAGACAGAGGGTCTCTATTGTTCGGGCAAGTGTTGTCTGTTGGCTAATCTGTAACAAAATGTGCACGTTGAGGAATGCCAGTCTTAGCGAGGATCGAGGGCACGAAAAAGAAACAAATGAACTGATGTTTTCTGCTTGGTTAAAGATGTACTTGTCGACTGGACTGGAGCATGGCCCTGCGATTACTTGTGAGTTGAAACTAGAAGAAAAGTGACTATTGAAGCAAGTCGAGGAGAGCCAGGAATTGGGGAATTGAAAGTAGGGGGATAAAAGTAAAGTTGGGGCGAAATGATAAGGGCAAAAAAGCGCGAGAAGAGGAATAAAAAGACGGGAAGACTGGAGTAGTAGCATCTAAACCCATATCCATTCAGCTCGATGCAGCAGATAGGGCGCCGTTTATTATCCAGTGCGACGGCCAGAGCATCAAGAATTCGGGTGGTGTTCATGGAGTTATGTTAACCTGAAGACGGACAGGAATACTATAAATGGAAATTGATACATACCTGTTGCTGGGTTCAAAATCAACGTTAAAGATTGCAAATGGAATTAGTCTAAGGGCGTTTTCTTTTAAACATTTCCTGACTGTTGACGGTCTTTCGAATGGTAGGTTTCATGACATTTATGGTACGACAAAAGCCCACTTTGTGGCCCGACCGGTGACACTGTTGACACGGACGTTGTTGAAATCACAAAAACGAGCGCAGTGCCAGTTGTTCCATAGCCAACAAGGAGCTGGTGGCCTTTTGTTAGGCTGGACAGTTGTTCGTGTCAACACATGGACGCAAACTTTGATGCACTGACACTATTTTGCATGGCTTATTTACGACTGTGATAAACGTTATCTGGTCTAACCGAAGAGTATACAGTTCCGTGAAAAGTGTAAGCAAGCTGACGATTTCGGTGCAAATGTCTAAAAGCGGCATTACTTTCTGAACATAAATCACTATATGATGACTGAGCCCGAAGCAGCTGCGCGCCACTGAGTTCATAATTTTAAGTACCTATCCTTTAAGGTACCTTAAGTGGGACTCAAGCGAACGCAGAGAAATTATCAGGAGTCCATGTTTCTTTGGCTTGTGTCAGATGACACAAGGAACGCTCGTCAAATGGCATCTCCGCAGC